CAGTCATCAATGTCCCTGAGGCCCCGACAGCAAGGCCTACGTCAGCCGCAGCCTCTTCGACAGCTGCACTGACACCGGACTGATGCCGGCCCACTTTACAAAGTTTCGGGCGAAAAACCGCCCCCCGTGTGAAGAACGCGCTGCATTCTTGCTAGCTGCACTCACGCTTTCTCCTTTTGCCCGCTCCTCAAGGGAATGGGCCTGCTTGAGCTAGAGCCGGATGGCACTCTCGAGGCAAGCAAAAGGCCTCTTGAACGCGCATTGCGCTGCAGGACCTTGTGAGCCTGCAACCGAAGATCCTTAAGCCTCCCTCCGATCTTCAATTAAACCCTAAATCCTAAACCCTAAACCCCAAACCCCAAATCGTAAACCCTAAACCCCATGACCCTAACCCCTAAACCCCTTACTACGGCGACTCCCAAGGGCAGTCGGTGGGAGCGGAACCGCTCTCTGGCAATCATAGGACAGCACAGGATGGCAAAAGGAAGCTGAAGGAATTTGGGTTTCGGGTTTAGGGTTTAGGGTTTCGGGTTTAGGGTTTAGTCATTCCTATTTTTAAGTTTCCCTAAGCCCTGAACCCGGAGAACATTCAAACTTTTCAGTTTCCCTAAGCCCTACACCGAAAACCCTAGTAATTAGTCAAAAAAAAGGCGCGCCCCGCCGGACAGTGCTTGAACGGTGGGGTGTTCCTACGTCAGATCGCAAACTCCTCTGCTTCCGCATGCCCGTGTTGCTCTCACCCAGCCCTAAACCCTAAACCCTAAACCCTAAACCCTAAACCCTAAACCCTAAACCCTAAACCCTAAGCTCCTAGGCACCCTCCGCATTTCTTGGGGGCCAGAAGCTTGAACTTGGCCTCATCCCCGTGCGCATGACATACTACAAGTTCCACATGGCGCTTTCGACTGGGTCCCGGGCACTCTTTTGGGGTTAGGGTTTCGGGTTTAGGGTTTAGGGTTTAGGGCTTAGGGTTTAGGGTTTAGGGTTTCGGGTTTAGGGTTTAGGGTTTAGGGACAGGCCCAGTCCGTGTCGCGAAAGCGTGGCAGACAGGCACTTTCCCGCATCACATCGCTTCTTGGATTGGCTGCCTTCGTGCACCCACTCCAAGAGGCCCTAAACCCTAAACCCTAAACCCTAAACCCTAAACCCTAATGGTGCTCTGGCCGCGGTCGCGTGTGCAAGCTTCCCCGGTGAAGTAGGGAGCTGCTGTCGCTGTTCGGTGCTCGTGAAGGGATTTGGGACAGTTATGACGCTGACAGCTGTGGCGAGACATATGGTGAGGGTTTAGGGTTCAGGGTTTAGGGTTTAGGGTCTAGGGTTTAGGGTTTAGGGTTTAGGGTTCATGGGGGTAGGTACCTAGGGAACCTTAGGGAGCTTCGGGAGCCTTAGGAAGGAGTAGTGAGGAGTACTAGGGAACCTTGGGTTACAGACCCCCCTTGAAGCCCCTCGACCCAGGAGTAACCTAGGATTATGAAGGGTGCCCTTTTTGGTTTAAAGGGGCTTCTAAGGGCCTGCAACCCTAAACCCTAAGACCCAAAAACCCGAAAGCCCTACAACTCTAAAACCCTAAAACTCCTAAATCCTAAACCCTAAACCCTATACCCTAAACCCTATACCCCTGCAAACCCTTAATCCCCGAGCCAGGCCAACTTCTTGCATCAGGGGCACCGGTCTCACGGGCTTCCTTTGACGGCCCCTCTCCTGTGAAGGCTGTTAGGGCTTTTAGGGCTTTTAGGGCTTAGGGGTTAAGGTTTACACATTTCAAGGCTTGGGGCTTGGGGCTTGGGGCTTAGGGCTTAGGGTTTAAGGTTTGCCAAATCCCCCTACTTCTGGTCCGCGCTATGAGGGGGACTTCTGCTTAACTTCCAGCCAGAGATTGGACATGCAAAGCGTTCAGGGCCTGAGGTCCTTCACATTCGTGCAAGTTGGCAACGATAGCGACGCAGGCACCCATGGATATGGCGTAATCAAGGAATTTACATCCCCGGACCCAAAACCCCGAGGCTTTGGCCCTTCAATTCCCTGAACTTCTTCACTTGGGACCCTAAAACCCTAAACCCTAAACCCAAAACCCTAAACCCTAAACCCCTGAACCGCAGGGGGTATGTTGAACATCTCATAGCATCCTGCAGCAGGGAGCACCAGCTTCTTCAGCAGCCAGCGCGTGGGGCGCAGGTAGAACAATGCCTTGCCGGGCACCACGGTCTGGAGCCGCTATGTGTAAAGCGACCCTAAACCCTAAACCGCCCAAACGCTTAAAGGACCCTTAGCGACTCTTGAACTCAAACTTGAAATGCTATGTCCCTAAGGCTCTAAATAGGCCAAAGTAGGTGTTATTCAGACTCGAGACTCTAGACCCCAATGTAGGTATTGTTTGTATACTTGGAGTCCAAGGGTATGCACCCCAAACAGGTTCGAATCTGCTGCAACTGGTTTTTCCCGTAAGGCTCCAAGCACTCTCCTTTCTAAGTCTCCGAAGGGCCCCCATATAGACCCTAAACTCGATGAGCCCTAAACCACCACTAAACTTCCAAGTAGGCCCCCTAACCTCGAAACCATCGTCAAACCCTTTTTGTTTCCCATTTGGGCTGGGTGGGGAATGCCAGAAAAGGTAGCTCGTCAAACCCTAAACCCTAAACCCTAACCCCTAGACTCTAAACCCTAACCTCTAACCCCTGAACCCTAGAAAACCCTATGTGGTCGGTTCTCCAAGCTACCTGAAGACGCCAATGGTGGTTCCTTCTGGGGTCCGTGATGGTTTTTCCATCTAAGGGTTCCCGGGTTCCAGTCTATAGCGCGCTGAAAAAGGCACTACATTGGAGTCTTCAGGTATGGTCTTTTGTTGGGGGGGGGGGGGGGCAGAGCACTAATCTAGGGGCCTGGGTTTTGGGGGCCAAATGAAAAGGGACCATCAGGGAATGCTAAGGTACTCGTAACTATTCCGACCCCTATAATACCCAAATTCAGGGTTTAGGGTGGAGGGCAAAAACGTCTAAACCCTAAACCCTACACCCTAAACCCGAACTCTAAACCCTAAACGCCCCACCTTGACCCTTGACCCGTTCCGACTCCTAGACCGAATATCCTGAGACCCGCTGCATGCCAAGCCACACCAACAACCCAAACAATACAATACTCTTCCTCCTCCCCCCCCGTTTATTGCCGGTGCAGCCCCGGCAAAAAAAAAGCGTGCGGGGTGAGGGGGGGGGAGGGGGGAGGGTGGAGTTCCCGAAGCCCCCTAAACCCTACACCCTAAGCCCTAAACCCTAAACCCTCAACCCTAAACCCCACAAGCAAAAAATCCCGGACGGAGATGTCAGCTGCGACACGCCGAAGAGCGCCATGCCGCCCACCATCAGGGATCCCGAGACAGGCCCTGGCACTTCCTTGGCAGGTTTCTTGTGAAGGCCTTTGGGTTACCTACACCCGAAACCCTAAACCCTAAACCCGTTTTGCCACTGGACTGAGGTCTAGCCAAACCCTAAACCCTAAACCCTAACCCGAAACCCGAAACCCTAAACCCTAAACCCCAACCCTGAACCCTTAATCGTGTTGTTTCTTGTTGGTGAGTGCTACGAGACTGGCTTAAGGATTTCTGTGCCGTAGTTTTTGGGGCAAGGTTGCAGACTGGGATTTCAGGGTTGAGGGCATTAGGGTTGACCCTAACCCTTAAACCCTCAACCCTAAACGGCATTCTTCCTTTAACCCCCTTCTCCCATGGTCTTGTCAACAAGATGCCTGGCTTGCAGCAAGACCACGTGCGCCAGACTCTTTAAACCCTAAACCCTAAACCCTAAACTCTAAACGCTAAACCCTAAACCCCACCAACCCCGAAGGGTCCATGTACCGATACAGTCTATACTTGGTTGGGTCTTACAGGGGTTCCCATATACTAGCTTTAATGTTTAGGGTTTAGGGTTGAGGGTACAGGGGTTCCCATTCTAGGGCCCAAGAATTATACTACAGAGGTACATGGACCCGAAGGGAACATTTTCGACTTGCGCATCGATACCGCAGTGGAGGGCTTGTTGGCTTGAACGCCATGTAGGAAAAGTCAAGATTGGAGCCCGCAGAGCGTGAGAAGGAGCTAATGAGGATCTCGAAGCTACATCATACGTAACGGTTAAGCATTCCTAAACCCTAAACCCTAAACCCTAAAATGGGGAGGTACCGGGAGAAATCATCTGCAAGCTCTGGAGCAGTCTAGGATTAGGACTCATAGGGATCAAAATGGAGTCGACCGCCCACGTCGCATTTTGTGAGCAGGCGGTCCCTGACTGGGTCAGACGGATTCAAAGCGCTCCGTAGCTCCCGAGGGAGCCAGGCCCTGTTGCTGCGCTGGCCGCCGTGTATGGGTTTACTGAGGGTTTAATTAGGGTTTATAGGATATAGGGACGGAGGCTTGCTGGTGTAGGAACTCGGCGTGGATCTCAACCAATTTCAACAAGAACAGTACCTCCTGCCTGTCTTGAACATGAACCACAACAGACTGTCAAGACCACACGCCAGAGTTGCAAACAGTATTGGCACAGTATCAGAAAGATGTGTGCAGACTGCTGGCCCCTGGCCTATGCACAGAAGGCGCTGTCACCAGCCTTGCGCAGAATGTCCTCAGTTGACTTTGGGTCTTGTTGCAAGAGCAGCGCTTTCACTGGTAGAGGTGGGACAGGTTTTTTTCTCATTTCGGCCCAACAAAACCCAAATTACCCTCAAGCCTGAACCCTCGCAACGCCCTCTGCCCAACTCCACCCTCATCCCTTCTTGCAACATCCTGGCCTGGAAGTGCGCGTACCCTAAACCCGCAACAGCCTCAACCCCCAAACACAACGCCAAAAAAAACCCTGAACCCCCCGCCCCTTTCCTCCGTCCTCCCCTAAGCCCCCTGAACCCTAAACCCCAAAACCTAAACCCCCCAAAAAAAACCCTGAGATCCAAGAATCCACCACGGACTTGAACTTTAAACCCCTAAACCCTAAACCCTAAACCCTAAACCCTAAACCCTAAACCATCCAAGCGTCCACCACGGACTTGAACGCGAACCACTCCGGGATCTCCTCGCCAGCGCGGAGGCGCCTGCGGAACTCCGTGCCGGAGAGCTTGACCACCTTGTAGCCTGGGCTTGCTGAGGGTTTAGGGTTTAGGGTTTAGGGTTTAGGGTTTAGGGTTTGGGGTTTAGGGTTTAGGGTTTAGGGTTTAGGGTTTAGGGTCTAGGATTTGGGGTTTAGGGTTTAGAGGCCAGGGTTTAGGGTTAGGTGTTTGGGCTTAGGGTTTAGGGCCTAGGTTTCTTGAAGGGGGTTGACGGTTTGTTTAGGGAGGGCTTTGAGCTTCGGGTTGGTTTCTGAGGCTTATAGGGTCAGCTTGTAGTCATGGCTTTCAAGATAATTATAGGGTTTTAGGGTTTCGGGTGTAGTTCGTTCTTATCATGTTTCTTATCATGTAAATACTGTATGGGGATGTTGCTGTTAAGTTTGGTGTGTAACCACTATTATCATCTTGCTATCTTTCGGTGAAGGGGAGCGGGTGTGAATAGTGATCCAGAGGCCAGGTGCAGCTGTGACTCTCAAGGGCGTGCAGCGTGGAATCACACAAGGGGCCTTCAATGAAACCATTTTGGGCTTAGGGTTTCGCCTGGTGTCACCTACACCCTCAATAAGCATGATCCCCCCCTGCCCTACTCTTTTCAAACAGGACTGTGGCAGGGGCCAGAAGGAGAAGACTAAACCCTAAACCCCAAACCCCAAACCCCAAACCCTAAACCCTGAAACCCAAACCCCAAAACCCAAACCCCTAAAGCCTAAACCCTAATTACACCCTAAACCCTAAACCCGTGCAAAGTAGCCCTTGCTCTTGGCGATGCTCTCCTGGACATAGCCTTCCTCTGGGCCGACGTAGACCTCTGCTGGCACCCACCGCATTGCAGCATCACAAGCGGGTTAGGGTTTAGGGTTTAGGGTTTAGGGTTAAGGGTTTAGGGTCTAGGGTTTAGGGTTTAGGGTTGTCAACAGTGAGTCGAAGCCCCGGCTACACGAGTAGTATGTGTATAGACGATATGTGTTTGAGAGCTCCATAGAGTTTGAAGATCACCCAGCTGGCGTATGGAGTCGGAATCGCATCTGCTTTGCGCTAAACCCTAAACCCTCAACCCTAAACCCTAAACCCTAAACCCTAGACCCTAGACCCTAGACCCTACGGCCGGCGGGCCATGTTCTCGTAGTGGGTCACGGTCACGCCAAGCTCCGAGGAGTACTTCTTGCCCGTCTCCTGTTTAGGGTTTAGGGTTTAGGGTTTTAGGGTTTAGGGTTTAGGGTTTAGGGTTTAGGGCTTAGGGCTTAGGGCTTAGGGCTCAGGGCTTAGGGCTTAGGGTTTAGGGTTTAGGGTTTAGGGTTTAGGGTGTCTCCTGCGCGTCGTAAGGACCGTAGAAGTCCTCGCCGTCAATGGTGCTCCTGAATAGGGTTTAGGGTTTAGGGTTTAGGGTTTAGGGTTTAGGATTTCGGGTTTTCCCTAAGATCCCCCAAGCCTAAACTTGGGGTCAGATATTGGATATGCTAGAATTCCTAGAAAAGTATGTGAAACACAACCCTTTTAGGGTTCATTTGATCCCAAGGTAAGCTTCTCTCAGCTTGAGGGCCCGGGGCCCTCGTGTAAGGGCACAAGGGTTGAGGGTTGAGGGTTTAGGGTTTAGGGTTTAGGGTTTAAGATTGCATTTAGGGTTTAGGGATTCGGTGTTAGGGTTGGTAGGTCTGACTTGCAAAAGGGACGTCTTGGATGCCCTGAAGATTGAAAAACAAAAGTCTGCAAGGGCATCGAAGGATCTTAGTACCCGCCATGTCGCGGCCGATGATGAAGTGGGTGGCGCCGTAGTTCTTTCCTAGGATGATCCCTAAACCCTAAACCCTAAACCCTAAACCCTAAACCCTAAACCCTAAACCCTAAACCCTAAACCCTAAACCCTAAAAAGGGAAAACATAGAACATCCCAAGGGCCGACCGAGCTTCGGATGATCATGTGCTGGATGGCCTCGCGAGGGCCTGCCATCTTCATGCTGTAGGGCAAGTAGGCCCACCTGAACCTTGGCAGTTCCAAAGTGCAGGGCTTCTAACTCTCAACCGTCCCCAAACACTAAATCCTATAAACCCTAAACAGCAACAACAGCAATAACAGACCCCACACCCGACCCTCCTCAGCCCCTAAACCCTAATTCTACCCTATACACCTTTTTGGGCCCTAACTCGGAGCTCGCTGAGGAGCATGGGGTACTCCTTCTCAGTCTCCGTCTTGAGGGCCTGAGGTGGACATGTTCCCCAAACAGGCCCAGCAAGGAAACCCAGCCCCGAGAAACCCTCGAAGACGCCTGACGTGCAACCCTCGAAGCCTACAAGCCCGCAAACCCTAAACCCCAAACGCCCTAAACCCCAAACCCTATAAACCCCAAACCCTAAACCCCAAACCCTAAACATCCAAACCAGAACCTTTACCTTCATAGGGGGGGGGGGGGGCGCCTCGTAGGTCTGGATGCGAACCAGGCCTGCACTGGATCTGGCTTTCTCTGTGTTGTGCGGTGGGGGGGGGGGGGGGGGGTCTTTAAACGTTTGTGGTTTAGGGTTTAGGGTTAGGGCTTATAGAGTTTAGGGTTTAGGGTTTAGGGTTTAGGGTTTAGGGTTGTCGAACAAAAACAAACATGTATACATATGCAGGTTGAGGGCTGAGTGTGCATACATACATAGATACTAGGGTCGAGAGAGTTTAGAGGGATCAGAAAAGTCTTAAAATGTTCTCACTAAACCCTAAGACCCCACACCCCCAAAGCCCCTAAACCTCTAAACCCCAAAAGCCCCTAAACCCTAAAGCCCAAAAGCCCCTACAAGCCCTGTCCCTAAACTGCACCATTGTTGAGATGCTCTTCGAACATGATCATTTTTGTTCCTTATAGGGCTCAAGTCTGTTTTGGGTAAACCCAAAACCCTAAACCCAAAACCCCAAACTGTAAACCCTAAACCCTAAACCCTAAACCCTAAACCCGAAACCCTAAACCCTAAATGATGTTCAACAATGACCCAGAAAAGCTCCCAATTCAGCCACAGAGGCCGTCGATGTCACCAGGCTGGGTGGGGCCGCAGGTGGGGTGCACCAGGAGGACGGAGTCCTTCACGTCCTTCCTTTTAGGGTTTAGGGTTTAGGGTTAAGGTTTTAGGGTTTAGGGTTTAGTGGGTTGTTTTTTGTTGCTGTTTTGCCCTGAGGCTCCAAGGACAGAAGGTTTTGGGGCCATTCTGAGCGCAAGGGTTCGCGTGCCAACATGGGTTCTAGGGGGCCTTGGGTTTTTTGCGGTTTCGGGGGGCTTTGCTACCTCTTTGGGCGACTTGAAACCTGGGTTGGTTTTGTGGGTTTAGGGTTTGGGGGCCCTTCCTGTTTGGCAGAGATACTCTCCCTGCAGTAACCCTAAACCCCAAACCCCAAACCCCAAACCCCAAACCCTAAACCCTAAACCGCAGTATCCCAGAAGTTCCGGGGGGGGGCGGGGGGGTGAGAGAAAGGCCCAAGCGTCTGCGCGCAGATCAGGAGCTCGAAGTGGGCGCGGTGGATGGGGTTGCGGTTCTGGAAGGCGACCACCTTCTTCTTCTTCTTCTTCTAAGGCTAAACCCTAAACCCTAAACCCTAAACCCTAAACCCCAAACCCTAAACACCCACAACCCTAAACACCCGCAACCCTAAACGCCCTAAACCCTAAACCCTGAACTGTTTGGGGTTCAGGGTTGTGATGGGTGTCTTCTCTTGGTGGGGTAAGAGGGGGAGGGGGGAAGTTGTTGCAAGGGTTGATAACGTTTCTAGAAGCTTGCGGGGCCTGGGGAGGCGGACGGTAGCAGGGTTTATTTGTGCGGCATACCTCCTTTCAGGTTGTCGAACTTTAGGATGTAGGTTTGGGAGGGAAGAAAGGGCGGAGGGCAAGAGGTCAAGGGCACAAGAACCATAAGAAATTCCTGCGCCGTCAAGGCTCCGTCTAGGGAAACGAAAGCCCCGGAAAGCCCTAAACCCCTGTTGGAAGCCGGACTTGAGGAAGGCCTAATTACACCCCTAATTATTCCCAAACTCCAAGCCCCTAAAACCCCGAAACCCTTAAACACCTAAAACCCAAAGCCCCAAAAAAACCTAAACCCCTACATCCCAAACCCTAAACCCCCCGAAGCCCCCCCCCCCCCCCAAAACAAAAAACAAAAACTCCCCCAAATCCCCCAAAATCCCAAAACCATATACCCCCGAAAAATCGAATACACCGCATATAAACCACGTATAAACCCCCGAAAACTCACCCCAAAGCCCCCCTCAAGCCAAAACACCCCAAAACCCCCCCTCACTCGCCTGCTTGTTCTCGGGAAGGGTGGCTCGGACTTCGGCCGGGGTCTGCGTGGGGTAGCCGAACCTTGAGAATTCGGAGGCGGCTTTTTCAGGGACAGGGCTTTCGGGCCTTAGTTTGGGGCTAGGGAGTTTCGTGTTTAGGGGTTCCAGGGCTTAGGGTTTTGGGGGTTCAGGGGGTTTAGGGCCCGAGGGCGGTTAAGGATTGAGCATTTACCTAGAGTTGCCGATCCTTTAAGACGGGCCATGTGCCTTGACTATTGGTGCTGCTTCTCTATATTTCAGACGTTACTCTAGGTAAACGTCCTGAACTGGGTTAAGGAGCTCTTGTCGGAGAAACGACCATTTTCAAGGCTTATAGTTCGAGGCCTCTCTGCGAAGCTCCTGCACCCTGCAAGTTGTCGGAGGGTCTCGTGCGCACATGCGCGTTTTGGTTCGGATTAAGCGGCATTGGCACGCCTGGATATCCATGAGCCTCAGTAAATGCCAAGGTCATCTCCTTATAATCCCACAAAACCCTAAGCTTTCGTAATCAGCGACTCCGAACGCCCATTCTGATCGAATGTTTCGCCCTGAAGAGCCACTTCACGCGGCCTTGCGGCTCGAAGCCGGGGGCTCTAGGGCTTCAAGGTTCTTAGGGTTTAGCCTCTTTTGGGGCATTAGGGCTTGTCTGGGTAGCCCAGTAACCAGTTTAGAATAAGGGCACGCCTTTTTTGGATTGGGTTCCTGTACCAACAGAAGGGAAAAAGGGTTACCACTGGGCCACCAAATTTGAGGGTTCCGGGGTCCAGGGGGTCCAGGGCTTTGTAAGGTCTCTCAAAGCCCAAACCAAAGCAACGGGTCTATGGCTCGAGGTTCTTAGGGTTTAGCTTCTTTTGTGGGCTTGATAGGGCTTTTAGGGCCCTAAACCCTAAACCCTAGACCCTAAACCCTAGACCCTAAACCCTAAACCCTATAAACCCTAAACCCTAAAGGTGCTAGGGTGTCAGAGGGTTTCTGCTGAGCCGCTTTGGCAGCTCGAAGCCGTGGATCTTGCCACCGATGTAGTACTTGCCGATCTCCTCCGCTGCTGCTATAGGGCTTTAAAGGGAGCCCGAACCAGAGGGTTTATAGGGTTTAAGGTTTAGGGTTTAGGGTTTCGGGCTTAGGGTTTAGGATTTAGGGTTTGGGATTTATGGGAAACAATGACATCAGGCAGGGAAACAGCAAACAAATCGGCAGCGCGGCCCGGCCACCACCACCGGCTTCGGGGAAACCCTCCAAAACCGCAAGTCCCCAACCCTAAAGCCTAAAGCCTAAAGCCTAAACCCTAAAGCCTAAAGCCTAAAGCCTAAAGCCTAAAGCCTAAAGCCTAAATCCTGAACCCCCAGGGAAAATTGTATCAGGGACCTCGAAAGGTAGTTTGCTCTAAGCTCCCTTGCGATTGAGCCACATTGCTAACCCTAAACCCAAAAAAGACCGACACAAAAACACTTCTGAACGCATCTCCCAACGAAAAAGTCTCGCAAAAAAAACCTTAACGTGGCGAACCCTAAAGACATTTACACCTCTCTTATAACACTGTAAACCAAAAGCCCCTAAGCCAGCTAAATCCTAGACCAACCAATCCCAGCCCCCAAACTGACAAACCCTCTCCACCCTGCCGGCGGCGCGCATGCCTCAATACCACAAACGCTGTAAAACCAAACAGACCCCCTATCCCGCCTCCTAAGCCTTAACACCGCCTAAACCCCAAATCCTAAAACTCCCAAAAACCTTAAAACCCAGCCCCAAAAAAACTGAAACCCTCCAGGGACACTCTGGGGCTGGGCACTCTAGGGACACTGGGATTGGGCACCAGGACACTCCAAGGTTGGCCTCAAGGAATGAGCGAGGAGTAGACCGGGCGAGGAGAAGAGTTCCGGGCGAGGAGAAGAGTAGAGTTTAAGATCTAACAACCCCACACCGAGGGTGGGAAAAACATATACACATAGTACTAGATACATCCAAAAACCTTCAACCCCAGGCCAATAACCCTCAACCCTAAACCCTACAACCCGAACCCGGAAACCCTCTAACCCCCCCCCCCCCCCCCCCCCCCCCCCCCCCCCCCCCCCCCCCCCCCGCCTGCACCAGCGATGCAACGGTAGGATGCTCCAGGCTGCTGGTGCCATAGCACTCCTTTGCCTCGACCACCTGATCTCAGAGGTTTCGGGTATATGAATATGAATATGAATATGAATATGAATATATATATATATATATATATACGTATATAAGTTTTTACATATTATATATATATCTCTCTATATATATATATATACACTTGTACGATTCTTAGGTAACCTGCAAACAGTGTGGGTTTCGGTTCTTAACGTGGTGGTTAGGGGTCAAAAGGCTCTAGACATCAGAACTCCGCCTTGTTCGCCTTCCAAATGGAGGATGCCTCGAGCACGGCGACGTTCCTGCATGTTGTGAGCTGCTTCAGGGACCGAGGACTCGAGACTGCGCAGAACTAGTTCTTAACACCCCACAGTTCCTTGAAGGGTGGTATAGGTAAGTAAGCCATGTAGAGGAACCATCAAGAAAAACCAGCTCCCAGAATAGCACAGGTTCTCACCCTTCCACTTCAGCAGCAGATTGTCGCCTTGCTTGATGCCGTCAACCTCGGCTCGCTACAGACCAAGAGCCGGGGAGTCTGAAGACTAGCAGTTTTCTTGGGATTGCTGGGGTTTGGGGGTCCTTGGGGCTGGGTTAATAAGGTGTCGGGTAGAGTGGCAAAAGGGGTTTGAAGATTGGGGCTTGGGGTTTGTAGAGTTTAGGGTCTGGGCGAACAAGGCTTCGGGCTTAGGATACTTGGGGGTTTCCGAGATTCGGGGCACCTTAAAGGGGTCCTTATGAGAAAGGAATACTACTATCTGGGGCCCTAAACCCTAAACCCTAAACCCTGAACCCTAAACCCTGAACCCTAAACCCTAAACCCTAAACCCTAAACCCTGAACCCTGAACCCTAAACCCTAAATTTTAAACCCCGATTCAGACCTTCGACTTGGACTCCCTTGTCGCGCCTCTGGCAGGTCGAAGGTCACGGGCAATCCGAAGAGCTGCTTCTCAGGCAGGCGCATGTCCTTGTCGGGCGTTTAGGGGCTCGTAGGGGGCTCGTAGAGATTTTAGGTTAGGGTTTAGGGTTTTGGGCTCGTAGTGATGTTTAGGGTTTAGGGCTCGTAGGGCTTGTAGGGATTCTAGGGATGCAGGTTCAGGGTTTAGGGATTCTGGGGGGGGGGGGGGGGACCCAAGAACCCCAACTTCTTGTCGATGGGCTCATCATTCTAAACCTCCCCTAAACCCCCCCAAAACCTGGCCCACCACTCTAAACCCTCAAGCCTAAAGCCTAAACCCTAGACCCTCAACCCTAAAAACTCCTACCGAAACGCTGAACCCCCCCCCCCCCAAAAAAAAAAAAAAAACACCCCCCCCCCCCCCCAAGTCCGCACCCCAGTCCTTCACCACGGAGTTGTAGGCGGTCTCCTCCATGAAGCCTGTTTGGGGTTTAGGGTTTGGGGTTAGGGTTTAGGGTTTAGGGTTTAGGGTTTAGGGTGTTAAACCGACAGGTTCCCATGTTCACTTGTGCTGTCCAACATGTCTTCATCCTCGCCGGCCCTTCCGACAGCTCCGAGGTGGGAGGGAGAGGCTAGAGCTTGACCAAAACTGCACGGGGTGCAGTGGAGGGCTACATTCAGGGCTGGGTCCTCATAGGGGTCTGTGGACAGACCATAGGGTTACTTAGGTCAGGGTGCCTCATTCGACATTGCTTAGGCCGACAGGACCGGGCTTAGGCATAGGGGTTTCACATTGGTAGCGGAGCCCGGCCTGTCGCTAGCTAGGAGTTAGTGTAAACAGGGGGTTCCAGGGAGTTTTTTATTTGATGGGAGTGGCGCGGCGCCATGGCGCAAGCTTCAGAAGGAACGGCTGAAGCAGCGGCAGGAGCCACCGGAGGTGTGAGCCATCTCCCGTGGCAGCAGGTCCCGAAGTTTACGCCAGGGGTGACAAGCGTGGACGAGTACTCTCAACGGCTTCGCTTTCTCAAAGAGTTGTGGCCAGCCGAGCATCTGTCGTTGTTGGCTCCCCGGGCAGCCCTCTTGGTGGAGGGGGCCGCCTTCCAAAAGGTGAGCCGGATCAAGCCCGAGCAGTTGCGAGGACCTGATGGTGTGAAGTACCTTGTGGAGTCGCTGGGCGGGTCTTGGGGAAAGACCACAGTGGAGGAGCGATACCACTTCTTTGAGCAGGCCATCTTTCAGACGCAACAGAAGGCGGACGAGAGTAACGATTCGTACATTGCCAGACACGACGCTTTCTTTGAGGAACTCTTGAGCCGTGGGGTGACCCTTGAAGAGATCCGCGCCTATGTTCTTCTCCGTCATTCCTTGTTGGCCCCGGAGGACAAGAAGCGTGTGATCGTGGAAGCCAAGGGCGACTTGAAGTACCAAGAAACGGTCCGAGCAGTGCGGCTCTTGGGGTCCAAGTTCTTCACAGACTTTCAGAACCGTAGTGGCCCGGGAAATGCCAAGGCAATGGATCGAAGCAAGGTCTACGACATCCACATGACGACAGACGACGACACCTTTGAGGAAGTGCACATGGCGATGGGACAGGACGAGGACCTCAGCGATGAGCTCATCCTGGCTCACTTCCTTGAGGCCAATGACGAGGACGCCATCTACATCACGGAGTTTGAAGATCAGATAGTGGAGGCGGTGCAGGAGAGTGAGTTGGCCCCAGTCTTTGCCTCGTACCAAGAAGCTCGTCAAAAGCTGCGGGACAAAGCAAAGTCCAGGGGGTTCTGGCCCATCAAGGGCAAGATGAAGGGGAAGGGCCAGTCCGGGAAGAGAGGCAAGGGTTATGGTTCCTGGGATGGGGGCCGTCGACGTTCCCTTGCAGATCGGATCGCCAACTCCAACTGCAAACAATGTGGGGCCAAAGGGCACTGGAAGCGGGAGTGCCCGAAGAACGACGCTAAGCCAGAGGCGACCTTGTTTGCCCAGATCCAGCCGACCGATCCCTTCCAATCGGAGGTTCTCCAGACCCTGCCAGACTCCGAGCCCTTCAACATCGATGAGGACGACAGCGCATGGACACAGAGAGGGGTTAGCACAGGGACAGGGAATACTGGAGTAATTCAGGACTTCGGGGAGACTTGCTTTATGGTTGCGCCAAAGGTGGGGCCTTCTTTGTCTCTCGAGTCTTGCCTTGCACGACGTTTGTTAATGATTCACAGGACATGTAGGACGCCAAGCTGTGCGCCGCCGGGTGCATCTTCTGAGGCGCAAGGGCCGGCCACCGCGCCGAAGCAGGCAGTTTTGAGACGCAGCAAGCCCAGTCCCATAATTCCTGAAGCAATTCTAGTAGCCACTGTAGGTACTGAGGGGGTGCTAGATACAGGGGCCAGTAGGACTGTGCTAGGAGACCAAAGGGTTCGAGAAGTGATAAGCGGTCTTGCTGCAGAGTGTCGCGGTCGAGTAAGGAAGATAGCTTCTGATGTCACCTTCCGTTTTGGAAACAGCGGGACACTCACGTCAAAATTTGCGCTGCTGCTGCCCACCTCAGAAGACACATGGGTCAGAGTTGAGGTGATCCCCGGAAACACTCCTTTGTTGATATCAAATCGTCTTCTCAGGGACCTAGACGCAGTTATTCATGTTAAAGAGGGGTATTTAATGCTGGGTGGTTCTAGGAGGGTAGACCTTAGATGGGATGAGCGAGGCCTATCCATAGTCAATCTGTCAGATCTCCTTCACGTCGGGGACAGGAAGGCTCCTGTCTACGTTGTTGACAGTCTGGGGGCGCACCCGCGTCCAGAAGCCTCCTCGGGAACACCAGCCAACAGTCCAGTCCCCAGTCCCCCAGAAGATGTTTCCGTTCCACCAGAATCAGCAAAGCAGCGTTTCCAGGAACCACAGAACACAACACGGCAGCCTGAGCTCAAGCAGACAGCACGAATCTTCGAATATCCTTCTCCTTCGCCGAGCGGCTTCCAACCGAGCGATGCCCACCTCAGTCAAGCAGTCCGTGAAGAAGCTCCAAGAGAAGATGCCCGAGGTCAATCTGGACGAACCTCTCTCCGCGGAGGAGGATGTGCACTTGGCCGAGGAACAGCTGACCATGGTAAAGTACTTGGAGGTGGAAGTTGTCCGCCCACCGGGGATTGCGAATCTTCGGGAATGGGGCCAAGTGGTGATCGCGGCTGGCAAGCACAAAGGAAAGAGTCACGAGAAAACGTTCGAGACCGACCTGTCCTACTCGATCCTCATGGCTCGGAAGTCTTCTCTCAGCAGCCCATGGGCACTGTCGTTCAAGAACTATGCCCTGATGCGACTGAAGCAGATGGCCAAGACGGAGCAGGCGAGGTCCACGACCAAGGCGGAGGCAAAGAACATCAAGTCCCAGGGTCCAGCCGTCATGGACGGAGAGGAGAGCGATGGGTGGAAGCTCTGCTCGCCGGATGCCACATCCCACACAGCTGCACCGAGCCGGGGCAGCAAGAGGAACAGTCCGCCGGGGGCAAGCTCGCAGATGCCCATTGCCATGTCGCCGGAGGAGATCATGACGCGCCGGGCCGTGCTCGAAAGAGAGCTGACGAGGCTTCGGGAGATCGAAGATGCCGACAAGGAGTGAGGGTTGATCCAAGCATGGAAACGGACGCAAGCAATCAAGGGAGGCATGGCAAGGTTCAACAAATGTGTGCACAAATAGACAAGTACATCCTGCAAATCGAAGAACAACTTGGTGATGCAGTGAGAAATTCGGTGTGCCAGTACCGTCTGCCCTCCCTTGATGTCATCGAAATCGGTAGTGGGGCCATTTGCGCAGCCGTTCAGAGATGTGGCGGGAGAGCTTTAACACTTTCTCCGGCAAAGCTTGGGAGCGCTCGGGGTATGTATGATCGCCTCTGGAAGCTGATCTCAATGTATGAGCCGACACATCTCTGGTTGGATTTGCAGCAGCCGTGGAACCACAAAACAGACAAGGGCAAAAAGACACCATGGCCAGGACAGTTTCTTCTTGACCTTTATCGCTACCAAACAGAACGAGGCAAGCACATACATTTCCTGTGTGGCCAGGGTTTCTTTGAGCAAATGGCACCTCAACTCCAAGAGGTTCAACAGGGCACTTTGCGAATGATTCATGAGCTGGAAGTGGGAGACACCCCGCCAGGAAACAACCATCTCCGCAAAGCCACCACACTGTACACCACGTCCAGACGACTGCAGCAAAGTGTCGACACTCGCTTTCAGACAGCGGGTCCAGATCCCAGTGGGCGAAGCAACCGCATGTTCCCACGAGAGAGGCGTCTTGCCAAACGGGTAGCCTTGCACCTAGGTCAGGACTTAGGGTTTCCTCTGCCTTTAGAAGAGCTGTTGTTTAATGTTGAAAAGCGGGGAGTCTCTAACTCTGACATTACTGCCGCCCAGCAAGTTTTGAAGCGCCGAAGACTGTTTGGAAAACAGCCAGGGCCGACAATCTCTGGAAGCGAGGCTCCTAGGATAAGTTGGGATACAGTTTTTCGAGATGTTAACGCGAGGGTTCCGAAAGGGGGAAAGGTAGGGTTTTCAGAAGGGGACCCGGTAGTCCAACAAGTTCAAGCACTGCTTCCACAGATTGTTGTGCAACATGTCGTCTGCTGTCGAGGCACCAACCGGATACAGCCACCTTGTGTGGAGGGAATGCCGCGGGACATGCCTTTACGTCAGACGGTTGTGGTAAAAAGGGTTGGTGGTGAAATAGCTATGGATGGTGAGATAGAGGATTGGTCCCAGGTTCCACGATATAAACAGATGCGTAAAGGCATTCCTGCAAAACTCAGTCTCACAGCTTACGGCATGTCACCTGAAAGATTGCGGAGTTTCAGGGGTCTTCGAGCAGAAGAAGCCCGGAATCAGCAGATGCCCTTAAGAGTAGACCAAAATCCCGAAGCACCCCAAAACCCTGAAAATACCTCAACAACAACAGATGTGCCGACAACGCGCTCGGATGCTGAGGATGGACCGCTCATTCAGGGCTACCCTCCACGGTCGGTTCCTAGGCACGGGCCGGGGTACTTCGCTTTAGGGGAGTCCGAGAAGAGGGAGTTAGTTAGGCTCCATAACAATTTGGGTCATCCATGCACTGAGACGTTTGTCAGATTCCTGCAAGAACGAAAAGCCGAGCCTGCGCTCATCCAGGGTGCTCGCGACTACTCTTGCAGTACGTGCTTGGAAACGGTTCCCACCCAAAAGTTAGCTAGGCCGGCGACAATTCACACGCATCGAGATTTTAACGACACAATCGGTATGGATGTTGCGTACTGGACCAATAGCGGGGGGAAGAAGTTTCTGTTTACGCACATTGTCGATGAGGGCACACTGTTTCAACAAGCCAGTGGAGTAGGTAGGACGCCAGAAGAACAATGGGAGTTCCTATCGGATCATTGGTTTCAGTGGGCAGGGCCTTGTCAAACTTTGTATGTAGATCCAGCAGGGGAGTACAACAGTGATTACTGGCGTCTAAAGCTGCAAACTGTAGGTGTGTGCACCAATGTTTCTGCGGGAGAGGCTCATTGGCAACTCGGTAGGACGGAAGCTCATGGTAGGATACTGAAGAGCATGCTTTCTAAAATGGACCATGAAGAGCCCATCCTGAACGACGAAGGTTTTCGTCGGTGTCTGAGAGCGGCAGTGCAGGCTAAGAACAGCTTGAGTAGGGTCCGGGGCTTCACACCTGAACAGGCAGTCCTGGGTAAACTTTCGCGGCTGCCAGCCTCTCTGATTTCCGACAATAGTGCCACGTGCCATGCTTTAGCCGACAGTGATCTGCCAGAAGGAGTCTCCTTCAGGAGGGACCTGCAGCGCCGTGAACAGGCCAGAGTCGCATTCATACATGCAGACAACGACAACTCGTACCGTAGGGCTCTACTTCGTCGTTCGAGGCACCCCTGTGAAAGATATGAGCCGGGCGATTGGGTTCTGTACTGGCGCCGACATAAAGCCGGGAGTCGTGCGGAGCAAGGAAGGTGGTATGGGCCGGGTCAGGTAATTTGTGGGGATAGCAAGGTAGTGTGGGTGAGCCATTGTGGGCAATTGATCCGTGCAGCTCCTGAGCAGCTGCGATCCGCGTCCTTGAGAGAATGGCAAGGGGTGCTGGGAAAGACCAGCGCTGAGAGTTCACAAGGGGCAGTAGGTCAAGGGGTTAGAAGGGTGGTCGACCTTGCTGTTCTCGGAGGAACACCTAGCCGAGCAGAAGTGGAGAGCCAGGGAGAGGTTCCGCAGGATGTTCCCGAACCATTAGGACCCATAGCCCCAGAAGGAGTAGCTGGGATAGAGGCCGGGGGTACGGTTCCTGAAGTTCCTGAAGAAAATGCGGAGGGAGAACAGCCAGAGATGGAAGTCTCACCTGTGCCGTCGGTAGGTCTCGAGACAGATATGGTAGATGCTTCGAACATTCCTGTGCCTGAAGATGACGAAGACGACCTCTTGTTTGGAGACAGTGAGTGTTTTTTCGCACATCCCACACAGTCACAGGCATGGGAAATCAGTTTGCATGAAACGGAGGTGCCTTTCGAAAACCTCCCGACGCCGCAGCAAGCTTTGCATTTTGTAATGTTAGCCACCGAGGCACGCAAGAAACGAGTTGAAGTAAGATTGAGGGACTTGAACGAGGGTGAGAGGCAACAGTTCGTAGAAGCTAAGGGCAAGGAGATTCGAGCCTGGCTTGACCACAGGACTGTACGTAAAGTAGCTGCGGGAACCCTTGATGATAGTCAACTCATGCGTTGCCGCTGGCTTCTAACATGGAAAGGCCCCGAGAAGGATGGAGGGCCGAAACGGGCCAAAGCTAGGCTAGTGGTGCTTGGGTTTGAAGACCCAGACATTGCTGATATCCCTAATGACGCTCCTACTTTAGGTAAGGACGCCCGACAACTCATCCTTCAGAAGGTGGCCAGTAACCGTTGGAAACTGATCAACTTCGATGTGTCCACTGCTTTTCTGCAGGGGGAGGGGGATGGTAGAAAGCTAGGCATAAGACCACCTGAAGAGTTAAGAAGAGCCCTCAACATGCAGGCGCAGGAACAATGCCAGCTCGAAGGCGGCGCTTACGGCAGAATCGATGCTCCGTTTTTGTGGTTTCAGACATTTAAGAAGACACTTGAAGAGCTTGGTTTTGTGCAAAGCCCTTTCGATGCCTGTGCTTTCAGCCTCGTTTCACAAAGGGCCGATGGTAGTGCTCAGGTTCATGGTGTTCTGGGAATACACGTAGACGACGGGATTGGGGGAGGTGATGAGTATTTTCGGAGGGTCATAGATCGGTTGCGGGGTATCTACAGCTTTGGGTCGTATGATGAGGGCGAGTTCACGTTCACCGGGATTCGTTTTCGCCAATGGGACGATGGGAGCATTGAAATGGACCAAGAGAGGTACATAGAGAAGATCGTGCCCATACATGTGTCCCGAGAGCGTAGAGTGAATCCCACCGCGATGTTGAACCCTGAAGAACTTAAAGAGCTGAGACGCCTCAACGGTAGCCTCCAGTATGCTGCAGTGCATTCTCGACCCGACCTAGCTGCAAAGGTAGGCTACTTACAGACAAGGGTCAACAAGGGCCAGGTTCAGCATCTTCTGGAAGCTAACCGTGTCCTTCAAGAGGCCAAAGCTCACCCAATCTCTTTGATGGTTGTGCCAATTCAAGAACAGCATGTTACGTTTTGCACCTTTTCGGATGCTTCCTTCGCCACGTCGAAAGACCATAACTCGTATCAGGGTACGCTGGTGGTGGCAACAGACTGGCGAATGCTAGCCAACTGCGAAGCTGTGATCATTCCTGTGGCCTGGTCCAGTAAGAAAATCTCCAGGGTAGTAAGAAGTACATTGAGTGCTGAGGTAGTTTCTCTCTGTGGGTCCGTAGACCGAATGTCCTGGATCAGGTTGTTCTGGGAATGGTTCAAGAATCCTGCTGTTGATATCGCACATCCGGAAGAAGTCCTTTCCCACGCGCCTCAAGCTTCGTTAGTCACCGACTGTAAGAGCGCTTACGATATAGCTACGAAAACTGCTGTACCTACGTGTTCTGAACTACGCACCCAGTTGGAATGCTTGTTGCTGAGGGAGAGACTTCAAGAAAATTGCAAGATGCGCTGGGTTCATTCAAAGGCCATGTTAGCGGACTGTTTGACCAAAGTGATGGATAGTTCCGAGTTAAGACGTCACCTACGGGAGGGTTACTATGCCTTATTCGACGAACAAAAGGTTCTTGAGAATAGAGCGGGGCAGAGACAGTCGCTGCAGTGGCTACGCCAGAACTCAACCGGAGTCTCACCGGAGCACAAGTGAAGAAACTTAAAAAGTTGGTTTTCGATGAGTGTTAAACCGACAGGTTCCCATGTTCACTTGTGCTGTCCAACATGTCTTCATCCTCGCCGGCCCTTCCGACAGCTCCGAGGTGGGAGGGAGAGGCTAGAGCTTGACCAAAACTGCACGGGGTGCAGTGGAGGGCTACATTCAGGGCTGGGTCCTCATAGGGGTCTGTGGACAGACCATAGGGTTACTTAGGTCAGGGTGCCTCATTCGACATTGCTTAGGCCGACAGGACCGGGCTTAGGCATAGGGGTTTCACATTAGGGTTTAGGGCTTGCTGAAGGGGGGCATCTTGGCTTTTGAGGGTGCAGGGTTCATCCCCTGCCTGCCATGCTCACCCACAACCTTCCTCTCGCGGGATCTTTGGAAAAAGAGTGTGGGAGTATGGAGGTGCAGGGGGCTGGGGGGAGGGGGGGAGAGCGGATAGGTTCTGCGAGCTCATGGTAAACGAGGCTGATGTGGTTGGTGCCGTTCTCCAAGAAACGGGAAACTACAGCACGTCAAAACCTGAGTTGTCTTGTACATAGTAGTACACGGTATATGTCCCCCAATTTTGGGGTTCCTTTGGTCAGGGTCAGGTTCCCCCTAAACCCTAAACCCTAAACCCTGAACTTTCCCTAAACCCTAAACCCCAAACCCTAAACCCTACGAGAGCCCGGGTTGCCTGTGAGCGGGCTGAAGGCGCCGCTGAGCAGGCAGAAGACGTCGCAGGCCTGCGGTGTTTAAACCCTAAACCCTATACCCAAAACCCAAAACCCAAAACCCCAAACCCTAAGCGCATTTACAAGGTGGAGCTCCCTAGCTATAAGTAGAGTTACAAGGGCCCTAACTTGGGTTATAAGGACCCTAAAATAGGTTATAAGTCCCTCAACTACAGTTGGCATAGTAAGGGGGCCCCTCCTTGTAAGGGACGGTTTAGGGTTTAGGGTTTAGGGTTTAGGGTTTAGGGTTTAGGGTTTAGGGTTTAGGGTTTAGGGTTTAGGGTTTAGGGTTTAGGGGTTTTTGTTTTAGGGTTTAGCGTATGGGCTTTAGGCTTTAGGCTTTAGGCTTTAGGCTTTAGGCTTTAGGCTTTAGGCTTTAGGCTTTAGGCTTTAGGCTTTAGGCTTAGGGGAGGGTCTCCCATCTTAAGGCTCTTCCATGGCGAGGCGGGGGGTTTAACTGAAGAAGTCTATCGCACATCGAGCAAATCTTAGATGCAAAGAGTTTTTAGGTCTAGATTTTTTCAGCTTAGGCGTCTTTCGGACCTTATCACCTAAAAGACCGTTCCAACCTGAACCCCCCACCCCCCATTTCCCTGGGCAGGGGTTATGGGTCGTGGCAGCTCCGAGGCACGGTGCGGAGAGACCCGCAGCTACTTGAAAACCTTCTTTGATGTTCCGGTTCTTATACAGTAAACCCCAAAAAGTTGGAAGCCTCTTTAAGGACAACCAGTGCTGGGATTGCCTATACTTTACTCTTAGGGATTGAGGCTATTGAACTATACTATGAGGGATTCTCTAAGTTCGGTTCCCTTTTGGGGTTGCTGTGCTGGGGCGGCCCTCAACTATGCAGGGTATAACCAAGAAGGGACCACATTTTTGAGAACCGACCATATCGAGGTGCCTTACACGTGGGTGTGCGCTTTAGGGCTCACATAACTTGCAGGTATGAACTGCAAAAATTAGGCCGCAAAGCACTGACTCAGTACTTAGGGTGATAAATCACCCCAGAAAAGAAAAACAGCCGCCTACAGTGACAAATATACTTTTGCTACGTACATCCCCATCATGAATCTCCTGGCGCCTGGCGCTCGTTGAGCTCGATCGTCTTCACTGCGCTGGAGGTGAGGCTCTGGATCGTGGCCGCATCCTGTTAGAACCCTTTTTGAAGCTGGACTTGCCACGCTAAACCCTAAACCCTAAATTAGGGGCAGCTTTCCTATAGGGTTGCTTCTGGGTACCTTGCGCCACCTTCGACTCCTCTCCCCTTTTTTAATGACGTTGTGCTGCACTGCGGAATGATCGGACTTAGGTTCTTGCTGACGCATGCTGAGGAGTTGCAGTTCGGAACTCTTTGCCGCAGGTGGAACATCAACCAAGCCGGACACAACCCAGTGCGCTGGGAGTATAGACGTCGCCGTTTTGTCTTAGACCCCAAAGCCTAAAACCCTAACGCCCAACACCTTAAACCCTTTGCATCAAGGCCTCTGGTCCACCCTAAATAGCCCTGGAGCCCTAAACCCTACACCCTAAACCCTATAAGTAATCCTTTTTTGAACCCGTGCTGAGGCCGAGGCATTACGTAATCCTAAACTTTTAAACCCTAACCCCGAAATAGCCTAACCCTAAGCCCTAGATAACCCTAAACCTTATAAACCCTAAACCCTAAACATCCCTAAACCTGTAAATGCTAGATCCTAGTCATGGGCTCTTTCTGGCCCAGGCCTTCACCATCAAGTCCACCAACGATCCACCGTGCGGGGCGCCGGCGAAGGTGGTACCTGGCTACTGGAAGTGTCATGGGCACTGGTACGGTTTAGGGGGTTAGGGGCTAGGGTTTAGGGTTTAGGGTTTAGGGCTTAGGGTTTTAGGGTCAGGGTTTTGGGGTCTAGGGTTTTAGGGTTAACCCTAAACCCTAAACCCTAAACCAAGGGAACTTCAAGCATGCAAGAAAAGCCCTTCAAACCCTTCAACCCTAAACCTTAAACCCTAAATGCCACACCCTAACCCGAACCCCAAACCCTCAGTTCTAAATTCTAAACCCCAAACCCTAAACCCTAAAACCCAAGACCCCCAAAACCCTGAAAACCCTGAAAACCCTGAACCCTAAACCCTAAACCTAAACCCGAGCCCCTAAACCCTAAACCCTAAACCCTAAACCCTAAACCCTAAACCCTAAACCCTAAACCCTAAACCCTAAACCCTAAAACCCTATACCCTGCTTCGGCCGCGAGGCGGGTGTGGATGCCGCACTCCGTCTTCGCCTGGCGCACGAAGCGGCCGGCGCGCTCGGACTCGTGGGGTTCCACCTCGGGGTCTTCTTGTGGCGCATTTAGGGCTTTAGACTTAGAGCTTGTAGGGTTTAGGGTATAGGGTTGAGGGTTGAGGGTTTAGGGTTTCAGGGTTTTGGAGTGGATATTTTTGAGGTTTAGGGTTTTCAGGGTGTACGATTTAGGGTGTTGGGGGCGTTTAGGGCTTGGGGCATAGGGCTTCAGAGTTTATTGATTTTTAGAGGGCTTAGGCTGTTGGGGGGGGTTTAGGGTTTAAGGGTTGCGGGTTTATTATGGTGAGGGCTTATAAGGTTGCGGGTTTGGGGTTTATAGGGTCTGGGTTCTAGGAGTCTAGGGTTTAGGGTTTAAGGGTTAGGGTTTAATTCTCGATTGCAGGCATTAAGGTTTAGGGTCCATAGAGTTTAGAGCTTATAGTCCACAGGGTTAGGGTTGAGGCTTAAATAGAGGAACCGACCTGTGCCCTTGGGAAGGGGGCTTGTGCCATCACTGTAGGTCGAGTTTTCCTTGTTTAAGGGTATGCGCCAGGCAGCCGCGGACGGCTAGGAGAACCAGCAAACCCTGTTATCCAGAGCTGTGATAAACCTGAAGCTGCTGGACATGAATCTAGGGGATAGGATTAGGGGGACCCTTGGGGATATAGACCCTCTGAGTAAGGTCCCTGTTTAAGAGAGCCAGAAGAAGGTTCAGAAGGGTTCCCTTTTAAGGGTCCCCCTTATCCTACCTAGGAGAATCCTTCATAAGCACTTCATGCATGCGGACTCCCTTTTTGTGTTGAAAGAAACTGCTTGGTGGACCCCAAACCCTAAACCCTAAACCCTAAACCCGAAACCTAAACCCTAAACCCTAAACCCTAAACCCTAAACCCTAAACCCTAAACCCTAAACCCTAAACCCTAAACCCTAAACCCTAAACCCTCCAAGATGTTCAACCCAAGGAGCTGGCACGGTCGTGTGCATGTCACCGAAGGACTTGAAGACGTAGGTGACCGCGGCCGGGGGGCTGCCCTTGATCTCGGCCTCACTGCATCGCCAGAAAGGCTTGCCCAAGTCCACCTGCGGGGGGGTTTAGGGTTTAGGGTTTAGGGTTTTGGGGTTAGGGGTTAGGGTTTAGGGTTTAGGGTTTAGGGGTTTAGTCTGATCAGGACGCGACAACAGTAGATTCAAGGACTGTTGAGCGCCAAGGTCGATGCAGGAAGGGGTTTGAAGTTGCGCTGGCTGTCGGAAGCAAGCTAAGCCAGAAAGCCCGATAAGCGGCAAACACCTTCCCCACCTTCCTCTCGAACTCACTGTCCAAGACTTCT